CACACACACACACACACACACACACACACACACACACACACACACACACACACACACACACACACACACACACACGCCGACAGGCTGTAACTGCATCTGGGAGCCTGAGCATGCAGAGCGAGGGAGAGAGAGCGAACGGCGGCCCGAAAACACCTTATCTGCCTGTTTGAGTCTCTGGTCTGACCGCAGAGCCACAGTTTACAGTCTCCACAGGCAGCCAGACTCTCAACGTCGGCGCCCTGCTCCCTCCACCGCCTCCCCTCCCTCCCTCCGCTCCTCCACCTCTTTCCCACTTCTGTCTGAATAGCCAGTGGCTGTGGAGGGAGAGAGCGGAGGATGGAGCGCGGAAGAGAAGGAGGGAGGCAGCCCTCCTGTCTGTCCCTCAGATTTAATTAATGGCCCACTCCGGCTCAGAGACAACCCGGCAAGCCTGCTTCCCTTTGCTCCTGACCTCTGACACACGCGCACACACGCGCACACTGAACCTTTCTCCACCGTCGTTACAGCTCTCCCTCCTCTTGAACCGCCGCCTCACTCATCAGCTTTCTTTTTCTCTTGATTTCCAAACGTTTCTTCCATCGGTATCGTCTCCCACTGTTGCGGACTTTGAACCTGTCCTTCACAGTTCGCTTGCTAAGACTTCAGGTAGAGAATGTCAAACCCTGGGACGGACTGGGTGCAAACAATTTGATAGCAGGAAGCTGGTGTTAATGTCTCATCTTTCGCTTGTACTTCATACACGTCTCACCCATCTGTGTTTGGCTGCAGCTTGTGTTGACGCGGCGTAGGCATGTCTTTACGGCTATGTGTTGGTCGTGTTTTAGAAAAATTTGCGTCTAATTTCACTGGCAGACAGAATCAGAGCCAGTGGCTGATCGGATTGGACTTGTATACAGACACAAATCAAGCTGCTTAGGCAGCCTGTTAAATCTCCCTTTAGAGCTCAAACAGGCCGATTTTAGGGTCTTGTCACAGGGCGTGCTGCGCTAACGCCGTCCCCCCATCATCACCCCGCGTTTACCTCAACCTACTTTTCTCCTTCATTAGAAAGAACAAAAAAAATCTGGTGCAGGGTTTAAAAATCTCCATTAGCTGATTAGGACAGATTTTTGGTAGGGTGGGGAGAAATCTGTCCCAAACGGGGGTCTAAGACTCTGCCTAAGCTGGTTGTGGCGCAGTCTGATAGCCTCCTCCTTCTAACAGCTCCACCTGATATCACAGGCACCGTATGGTCAATTAATCCGGCAGACAGAGGCGCAGCGCACAGGGAGAGGGTATGGAGGTGTCAGGTCGGGGTGATTATGCCACTTGCTGAGCCTCCAGCTAGTGGGGACAAGATGAAGAGGGTCCAACTACGGAGAGACTTAAAGGAAATGTATTGGCTCCATAACTGATTGATCTAAAGTTTGTTGGAATAGATAATGACATGTTTTTTTGTTTTAAATGCGTTTACCTACTTTATGTTGTCAGACTGGTTCTATTTAAGTGGTTTATTGACTCTACAGGGAGCAGGCCAGGCTGTGGCCACTGAAATGAACCCTGTTTTTCTAAAAACTAACTACTGTTTTCAGAGTTAACTCAAGGTTTTTCACACAGGGACAGGTTGGCTGGGATAACATTTCTGTTCTCCGATATTGAAAATATATGGTGTTGTAAAAACATTTGGCATATTAAATGTTTATAGATGCAACTTTGAAGTAGTATGGGAAAACATACAAATAGTAACAATTATTTTAGTTACTAGTTATTCCATTAACCATTCTGACATTTAATAAGATTTTAAAAAATGGCACATTCAACAGATTTTTTGTTAAACCACTTAATAATTTTTATATGACATTAGAAATACATTAACAGCTAAATGACTTAATTATTAGTAAATCTGAATCAGGTGAAGCTAAATCTATACCACTTGAGGAGTTTTGGTTAAAACACATTTACAGAAAAAGGTGTTTTTATATTAAACGCACAATTTTCTCTTAATAACTGCTCCAAGTAAGTTGTTTTTTTCAGGAGATTGCCTCTTTTTGAGCCTGTTAGCGATCAATCGATTACTAAATTAGTTGATGAATGTTTTAATAATCGATTCCTCGCGGTTGATCCGATTAATCGTTTCAGCCCTACATACAGAACACAATCCTTACCATTGAGTTTTGTAATACTAGCCAAAATGCGACAGTGACACGCAACACGGAGGTGAGCTCCGTTCGAGGAACAGTGACCAACGAGTAACCTCAAACGGTTTACCTGACAAATAGCTGTAATTAAATGCAGTCTGTGTCCTATGAGTAAGCTGCAAGAAAGGCTATTAGCCTAATACATGCACACTGTGGTTCCTGGGCTCACATGAAACCAGATTAAAAGCAAACAAAGCTATTTATTCTGAAGTAATTTAAAACAGGGGGTTTAACATGAAATCCTGGGGTGCAGCAGAGAATCTGGGAAGAACATTAGGCGATCAACTTAAGAGTGACCTTTAGGAAGGAGTAATAAGCTTATCGTCAGTTCCCTCAGCTGAACAAATCAGCGTTAATTGCAGAAAATGGAGCATGTACATGTGCAACAGGAGTTATAAAAGGCGGCATCTATCATAGAGCTAAATGCGAAGGCAGAGAGAGGGGGACTTTTAGAAGAGGAAAGAAGCAGGAGAGAAGGAAGATTGTGGGTTTCCTACCTGTGTGTCGAGTACTGGTGCTGTGGTCAGAGGCTGACTGCTCCTCGGGCATACCGTGCTGTCTGGTGTGGTGCAGGTTGGAGATAATTGTAGAGAGGTCACCGTCCCGACTGGAACAAACACACACAGGAAGGGACAGCGCACTGAGAAAGAAGCTACAAACTTAGCAAAAACAAAAAAAAAAAAAAAAAAAAAAAAAACACGCGCTCATTCGACCAGATTTAACCAGAGAAATCCTCGACTCGGATAGAGCGGCGCTCAACTAAACACAGACTCGGCTGCTACAGGTGGCCGTCCTGTCGGCCGCCTCTTAGCTCTGAGGTCTGTAATACACTGTGACAGACTACCGTATCCAGCACTTTCAGCTCTCATCCCCTGCTCATCTTACGCACTAAGATGTATTAATGAACATATTCACAACTCATAAGGAGTTTAGCAGCTTAAAACCTTAATATGGCTCTTTTAAAACCGTAGCTACTGATGGCTGCTTATCAGAAATATGGTAACTACATTCCGTGAAAAGTTGTCTCAATATTCATATATTCCACCAAACGACAGTGTCAAAACAATGGCCTTCACTGTTATATTTAGTAATTAGTAATGCTTAGCAGAAAAAAAAAAAAAAACGACACAATCTTAGCTTAAGGTTTTACTTCGACCTTAACATGAGGTTCCTCACAAGCAAAGGAGTCCAAAAGCAACATGTTGTGTCCTTCATCACCAGACGTAGCATTAGGAGAACGGTTTGCAGGTCAGGCCTCCATTTGACTGAGCCGTGTCCTTCCAAATTTTCTATGTCCCGTTTTTCCTAAACTCCTCACACAACTGTGACATGGAGCCGTTTCATTTCCAGTCTGATTACCATCCTGATTGCATTAAAATGGAATAATCATAGGAAATAGGTGCTTAGCGTTTGCGGGGCGTATGTCAGCGCCGGAATATGAGTTGTTAGTGCTGTGGCAAACCATCTCTACGGAAGCTGAATAAACCCTGGTTTAAGGTTTAAAGTGCCGTTAACAACTGTTCTTCAAACCTTTTCACATTTTGTTCCATGTGGTTTTATGTGACAGACCAACACCACAATATTGCATAATTCTAAATATAATTTATTGGTGTCAAAGGGAAGGATTTCTAAATATGCATTATGCCCTTGTGTTCACCCTCTTTTACTCTGTCACCCAAAAATAAAACAAAATGTTTTTAAAAGTCACCATCTGCGTGTAATTTTTCCATCCCATTATAAATGCAATTTAACTGGCAATACGAGGCTAAACTTGAAAACTGATGTTTACCAGGGGTCAGTGATTTCAGCTAAGACTTTACTTTTTGACACTATTAATCAAACCTGCAGTGAAAATATCAATTATCCACAGCTTCCTGAAAACTGACTAGCTTTTAGCATCTCAGCCATTAAAGAAATGTTAGCATTAGTGGCATTTGGAGCCCATCCAAAGGGAAAAGTAGATTATTAACACATAACATTTGAACAATCCTACCAAATATGGCGTCTGAGAAGTCAATTACAATATATTGGTAATGTTTTGCACACTTATCATGATCGTGATTCGGTAAATATTGTGCAGCTCTAATGTTCTCAAGTGATCTCCATGCAATGTTCCTGAAGTTGAGCTTTTCTGTCAAGAAGAATGGTGAAAAAAAACAGTCTTACGTTGTACATAGCTGGTAGAGATGTGCCTGAAGATATAATTGTTGTGAAAGGTGCTGCTACAACGTACTGACTCTGGGGGACACAAAATAATTGAAACAAAAACATTATTTTCCTTCCACTTAACAACTGCACTGACGCGTTGATCTGTCTCTAAAGATCCAGACAAAACCTTGACGTTTGTGGTTTTAAGAAGATCAAATTAGGAATACTTCAATGGGTATCAATGCTTTTGCAAAGCGATGTGCTACAACATACTAGGCTGCATTGTCACATTTTAATTTTTTTTCAGTAAATAAACGTGCTGAATTTAAACTTCACATATCAGCAGCATCCATTGATTCAAAACAAAAATCTCATTTAAATCCTTGAATGGTCTCCCTACCGAAATCCTCTTTGAAGTAGATTTTGGTACGACACGGTAAGCACAGTTTAACGGGGAAGAAGCGGTGAATGGTTCTTAGCTGCCACCACCGTGACGAGGCCACACTGTTTGCGGCTGCTGGATTTGGGTTTTTTTACAGTCCCATGATTACAGGCTCCCGCTGTAATGTCAGGTTTTCGGTCGCCAGGCTGTTTTCCACACACTAACAGTAAAGCTGAAGGGTAGTACTGAGGGCGTCACGCTGGCCTCACCAGTCACCTCTCAGTCACAGAGAGCCAGTGACTCAGAAAACAGCCCCAGACAAAACAGCCCCCTTCGGTTGCTAGGCAGGAAGACGCTTGATTGGACTTTGACTTCAGACTTTTTCGACTAATTACAGACTTCATTTTTAGGGTGTAGCTTGCTAAAATTGGTAGCTATCTGTGTCTGCGAGCCCCGTGATTTTCTTCAAACAGAAAACGAGAAACAAAGGAGGTTTGTTAAAAGTCGTACAATAACGTATTATCCAGGGAGTCCGGCAACAAAAACACAACTTCCACAAACACTACGATGCACCAGCCTAAGAAACTGCAGCCAAGTCAATCAGTCAGATAGCTGCTTTATAACACCACCCTCTGTCCATCATTTAAAGTGATCATGATAATGCCATCCTGAACTTCTCAGAGAGGTGACGGGGTTATTATCCCATGGCGAAGTGGCTCCTCTAAGCCATGAACGCCAAGGACATTGTTAGTTAGGTAATTAGTGCACTTCTCTTGAGCTGTCCCGCCTCAGCTTGGGCTAATGAGGGCTTAGCCCTATCCCCACCCACCTCTGCCCTCCCTCCACCATTCCTGTGGGTGGTGACAAGGTCATACTCGACTCATGGAAGATGGAGAGGGGGCTGGGGATGCGGTTTAAAACCCAGCCACCTGAGTCAGCGCTCCCTAAGGAGCTTCTGAGGCCACGGTAAACTGGGAAGGACGGGGGCCGCGGAGAGGATAGACGGGGTTATGTGGAGGCTATTGGACCTGGCGGCTAAGTAGGACATGAGCCGCCTCCTTATCACCTGGGCGCATGCCGGAGACAATCATCTCATCCTACGCTCATCCCTAAACTGGTCAATACCGGCCCTTCATCGGCTCACACAGAGCAGACCCGCTGACCCCAGAGACAGAGGGGCGAACTCAAAAATCTGTCCTGAATTTAACTGGTGTTCAACATCACTGATCATACCAAAACCCAGGATGATTTGATCTGTCATCCTAATGCCTTTGAAATCTGTGCTGGTATATAACAGCTTGATTTATATGTCCACCCCACAGGGGACGGAGCACATCTTGAATAGGTTGCTAGTGCAACACAGAGGCAACACAGAGACAAACTCACCCCGAAGGGCAATTAAAAGCCCTTTGGTGTTGAACTTGCCTGGTTTTGAAATGTGGAAGGAAGCTGGAGTACCCAGAGAAAACAACCATGCACTTGGAGAACAGGCAAAGTCCACCTAAACCTCACCAACTCCTCAGTCGTTTCCCTGCTTTTTGGCTGACATTAGTCCTGCTTCGCTTGTCTGCTTGATCATTTTTGGTCAATAATCAACTTGACTTTTGTAGAAAACATATCCAACTTTCACAAAGCACTTCGATGTTACAAGCAAAGTTCATTCCGATTTCATAACAAGTGAGATTGGTCGCTTTGTGGACACTGAAGACATTTAAAGTGAGCGACGGCCGCTGCAAAAGAGAACTGTGGAGAAAACAGGGCGACGTTAAAGCAAATCCTTCTTTCCTTATAAGTGGATGTGCTTCCCTCAGCGTGTACTTCCCTAAAGTACATCCTGCAATTTAAACCAGCCCAAGCAACATAAAAAGCCTCTTCCACTCACATTAGGAGTCAGCTCAGTATAAATGCACAGTAGTGCCCCACTGTGGCATTGGCACATGAAGCTGAGGCAGCAGAGCTGGAGGTCACAGTGTGAGCTGGCAGAAGCTGGCAGCCCGGCACCCTGACGCCATGTCTCACACCAACGCTGGGAAGGCGCTGACAGTCAGACAGCAGGGATGTGAGGGTGTGCGAGGAGAAATGGAAGCGAAGGAGACAGAGGAGCGGGGTTGTGAGTGCTGCAGAACATCTGGTGCTTACAGGTTTGCCGGAGACAACAGCCGGACTGTGCAGGCTGCTGAAACCGGTGCAGGTGGCCCGGCAGCAACAATCGAATACAGCCAGGCGAGATGCAATATTCACCGAGCAGAGCACAGAGAAGCTAACGTCTCAGCTGCAACACAACAAAGCGTCTAAAGCGGGACGCGTTCCGTTCCCGTTCGGTAGTTTCATTTATTTATTTATTTTTGATAGTTCGGCTGGTTCCTGTTAGCGAATGTGTTCGCACAAGTCACGCTCCTCGCCGTCGAATCAAGCGGGACTCAACAGTGAGCAGAAACGGTAATGAATAAATACAGAAATAGATACATAAATAAGTAAGAGTAGCCCGGCTACACTTCTCCCAGTTGTTCCTCTGCTGTACGGGCTGACATGAGGTCGATAAAGCAGCCAAGAGCGGGAAAAAAAAAATAAAAAATACATTGAAACAGAATATACCGCAATGCTGCCGTGCTGCACTGAAGTTCCTCACACTCTTTATGGAGTTATATATGTTTTACAAGCTGCCTTTTTAATATGCTTTTAATAACATTGAGAGATATTCATGTTTCAAGCAACATTTGATCCTTCGTGCTTCCACAAAACTCTAGCTTTACCTGACTTAGTATAATGTTACATTTTGAATGATAGCCTCTGTTTACTTCAAGTTAAACTCCTACTTTCAGGCTCTAGAGACAAGGCAAACGTTATTTTCCAGTAAATATATCTAAAATGATACAGTCCTACACTGAAATAATGAATGTTTTTGCTGTTAGCCAACACCCGATAAGCAGCTAAGATCTATTGACTGTGTTTCCATGGTAAACGCATGCAAACAAGGCCAACATGTTTCAAAGTGGAAAGCTCAGCTAAAAAGCTATAAAACCTCCGAGCTCTCTAATTAGCGCTTCAGGGGCAGGGCCATTTCCAGTAATATCACACTGTTCGTGACCCCTGACTGGCATAAGGTAATGACACGGCTGTTCGATAAATCCGGAGGACAAAATGTCAAACCCGTCATGCACAGAAAGTACACTATCCGTTTATTTCTCTTAATTTTCTTTTCTTTCAGAGGAGTCGGAGTCAATGCTTCTCCATGAAAAGTGTGCAGAGAAGCTGAGATCGTCATATTCTCCGACAGGAATGAGGCAAGAATTTAGTTGACGTGTGATACCAATAAAGTCTTCCTAATCTATGCGTTATCATTAAGGTAACTTTTCCCATGCAAAACTTTTCACTCAAGTAAAATTGGTGTCATGTTTGTGACAGAGACTGAAACAACTAACATGTTAATTTCTACCAATCAGAAAAACCAGGATGTTTGGGAGGGTTTTTATCTAGTTTTTAGGTCCTGGAAGGAAGGCATCATCAGCGGCTGCCAGATAATCACCCAGACTGACACAAACTCTAAAAATGGTTCTCCTGGCTCTAGAGTAAGAGGACAAGAACTTCGAACCGTCCACTCTACAACCATCACATTCAACCCACCACCGTGTTTCATTGTGACAGTAACCATAGTAATTTTGATAAGAGGAAGACATAAAAACTGTGACGTACTTTGATGCTGTGAACCAAAAGGTCAACGCATCGTTTGACTACAGCCATTCAACTCCAGGATCTTCTGATATAATTGATATTAATCTGTGATACCATAAAAAATAAAATAAAATACAAAAACCGGCTGCAGCATCTAAACCAAACCAAAGAAAGTTCTCCTCAGCTATGATGTTCTCAGAAGTGACGCCTCCCTCCTCCTACCCTGCGGAGATCCTGTCTACAAACCCCTGAAAAAGTATTCGTACTACCTGACCCGTTTCCAATTTTGCCTCATTACAACCTCAACTGAGTTTATTGGGAATATAATCTTGAAGGACAATCTCACACAGTCTAAGAGCTGCAAGTCAGAGAGCATCTCTGAACATCACTTTTTGAATCTTGTCAGATTTTTGGGTTGGAAATCTGGACTTTGACTGGACCACACAAACTCATGAGCATGCTTTGATCTAAGCCATTCGCTGAGGCTTCTGCTCTATGTTTACGGTTATTTTCTGGTGGAAAGTGAATCTCTAACCCAATCTGAAGTGTTTTTCAACCTCAAAGTGTTTTTTTTTCCATCTCCAAATAGACTCTGACCATATTTCCTGTTTTTGACCAGAAAAAAAAGCATGATGCTGCTACCACCATGGATCTCTGTCTTAGTTTTTGGTCTGTTCTGTTGAAAACAAAACTTCATATGGCTTTCTTATTGCCACCCTTCCATAAAAGTCAGATTGGTAAATAGCACAAGTAGTAGTTGGTAGATTCCCTGATCTATGATAGGGAGACATTATTGTGATGCAACGTATTGGTCTCTCACATGAAATCCCAATAAAATACCCCCAGAGTTTCTGGTTGTAATTTGACAAAATTTACAATCTTGCCAAATTTCTTGACTTAATTATCTGGTGGTTTCTATCGCCGAAGACGATGAAACAAATTTATTCAAGAACAAGTGAACCAAACCTAAAAAAGAAATCAATAAAATCTGTAAATAATCTGTGAAAGGAGGACAGACTGACAGAAGGTTTTTTTCAAAACACATGTCTGACTGATCTAAATGCCTCTTTTATGCTAATTAACCATAAAAGTCAACACTGCAAGTTAGCACTCACTCTAACTTGACTAAAAACGGGAGCGGAGGGAGAGCGCTGGAGCAGCACAAAAGACCCGTTTCTCAGTTAGGAACCGAAAATTGCCATGACATATCTGATGTATGTATTAGAGTACAGTAATAGTAGACAAGTTGTTGCAGCTGAGTGGGTGTGACAGACCTCCCGTCAGCCCCGATGATGTGAGGGAGAGGCAGCACAGATACACTGACACATGTACACAGAGGCCCTGTATTTTTCACATCCATTGACCAAATCCAATTTGTTAAGACCCTTCTACGACTCACTTACGAAGCTGCGGTCAATGGAAATCACATTTTCATGATTGGACATCCCATTATCCTGTTTGTCCAGACCCACGTCGGAGGGATAAAGCCTGGCCCAGACAGATGCCAACGACAGACCGGAGCTACGGCTCCAGCGTGTCCGCCGCCTTTCAAAAGGGTAAAAACCTGATATATTAGTCATAAGTGTTCTTTAAATTCATTATCATCTTAACACGCCAGCGGCACAAGTGTCAGGGGGAGGGGAGGCCCTCTTAAACGAGGTTAGTGGATCCATTTAAAGCTTCACAGTTGCTGTGCTGTCCGCCGCGTCACACGCAAGCCTCAAGAGAAGGAAAAAACATCCCCCATTTTAACAAGGTTGCACAAGCTGTTTGTGATGCAGATGGGGATTTTCTGAATTCATCAATGAATGGATTCAGCTTCATATCGGCCAAATATAGCTCATACCCCCCCAAAAAGAAAAAAAAACTCGTACATGGATGCAATGTGAGTAGAAAATCCACGTGGTAATGATGAAACCATAAATCGAGACAAATTAAAAAGAAATCTACAACCTCATGAGTTTTGGAAGATTGTGTGAGTTTGAACATCATCTCAGGTCTTTGTTTGTACTTCCTCTGCTGAGTTGCGCAGCATTTCAGAGGGTAGAGATGAACTCCATCACAGGTACGAATTAATTACACAATCAAACTAAAATTACCCATCTTTAAACCATGTAAAATAGATCATAGTACAACACCAAACATAAAGGTAAGCCATACTAAGAACTCCATCCTGATCAACACCCTCCAATCAAGCTGCTCCCCATCAACACGCAGCTTAAGAAGAAGCAGACCGAAACTCAGCCAAGAAAGATATAAGATTTAAAAAGCAGCAGCATTAACAAATAAACAGCTTCAAGCTTTCAGTAGCTGGTCCAAGCTCAAATTTAGCATGCGTTGTTGAGGCATGACTCCCTCTCTGTCTGAAAAACGAGCCAACTGTACCCAAGTGTTCAGCAAATGGTGCTGATCGAGGATTGTTTGTTTCAGTCTAGCAAGCCAAGCCACCACGTCGTGAGTAGTTTTTAAAAATCTCAGCCCAGCTTTGTGTGCACACCTTGCAAAACCGTGTTGTAAGGTTTGCTAAAACAATTTGGGTTTTCCTGAACAAGTCAAGACTGTTTTACCCCTTACAATGACAGTGAGTGATTGTATTGGCTGCTGCAGCTCATGGCACTAGCAATGTATTTTATCATGTTCAAGGCAAAGCGTCGAGTTTATGAAGAGTTGCCTTTGTGAAAGTTTTATCTCAACACCACCAACTGAAACTGCACTGAAACTTGTTACAAGACAAATGGTCAGTGACTCATATCAAAACAGAGAGCAGAAACGCTAACTGAAGTTATCCAATTCAGCAAATCCCTTTGGATAATAAAGTTCATTGAAAATCGCAGCTGTATGGAAAAGAAAAAGATAAAGTTATGCAGGTTCTAGACATTGGTTCGTGGCATTGTCAAAAATAATCTTTGGATATGTTGGTACAACATAACCTGGGCTTCCTGGAGATGCTATGATAAGGACAAAACAGCTTTAGATTTTTAGGAAAAACGAACAGCTACGCTGACATCAGTTCAATGTGTTAAAAGCCACATATTTCAAATACAAATCATGCAATACTGATAGTGTGTCTTATCAGACAGAGACTCTGCATATTTGCTAAATTACTCAGATCAGTGTAGGGGACAAAAAAATCCTGACAGGGGCATTCCTCTATGAGACACAATATTTCTGCTTACAGGCAAAAGGACGAAACCTTTTTAGAAAGTGACGCATGGAATTTACTTCGTATTAATTTTATAAAATAAACAAAACAAAGATGGACAGAACCAAAGCTCCAGAAACTGGAGGCTTTTCAGGAACACAGCTGCCATTTTTCATGTCGAGAAGAAGAACCTGTCCACAGACGGTATTGGCGTCACAACTTAGAGGTGCCTTACCTTTTTCTCATGATATTGTAATGCAAATCCTCCTCCTGCTTGATGTGGGCATGATCCCCGCTGGCCCGCTCGCTGCCTTCGCTGTCGTCACTGCTGAAAATTGAAGCCAGTTCCTTCTTGGGCACCCGGTTGGGCGGAAGAGGGATGGTGCGCTTCTCTGCCAAGCGCCCGCGGTTCTGCAAATCACACACCAGGAGAAAGTTTAGCAAGTTAATCCAGACAACTCAGAAACACGTAGGAAACTTGTTTCATGTATATGAGTGTTGTTTTAAAATGTACAAACAAAAATTAGGTCACCAATATTTTATTGGGATATTAAAGTAATTATTTTTCATAAAATGCGGACAGCTTCTTTTATCATTTTCATTTTATGGATGATATAAAATTTAAAAAAATCTAAAATGTTTATTAGTAAAGTCATACAAAGTTATTCTGCTCAGCAGCAATTAAATGAGCAGTAAATATATTTGTCAACTTTTTCTTTACAAAGTTCTGGACACCAGTAACGAGAAAAAATGCTCCAATCTTAAGTATAATTTAATCTAATTGGGTACTGCTATATAAGGTTTTATTTTTCACCCCGTTTTTGATTCCCAATTAGGACAGCTCATGTCTTCTGATAAAACCAAAATAACTCTCTGCATCCTCCTGTTGGCAGATCTCATTTATTCGCTCAACAAACCTAATTTCCTAATAGCGGACGATGATTGGATCAGGCTGTCATGGAGGGTACGAAACGTTCTTTAGGCCATAATCAATTGACACGCGGTTGGTACAAAAGCTCCCATGTCCAATGGCAGATGGCTCCGTTTTGTCCACAAAAAACACTGACAAATTTCACAACACTCATTTGAAAAACAGTGATCATTTTACAATATCAGAAAACTGAGAAACTTATAAGAAATGTATAAATTAATATGAATTGAGAACGATTTTTATGTTTTCATATGTCATATTAAACTCGGATAGCCATCTGTATTTATGCTGTTTTAAAATAGTACAGCAATGTGGTATGATGTTTTTAATATAATCAGTTCATTTCTCTCTTGTAGTTGCATAGTTCTGGGGCTTTATGGAGCTAAATAATACTAAAAATCCTCATATTTTGAGTATAATTTAATTTAATGCTAACTTCGTTTGTTGGGATTTTATATTGCACCTCGTTTCTATTGTTTTATTGGTTCAGAACTTCATTTGAGCCAGTCGGCTCTTCTGTGACAGATTATAACCTCATATCAAACCAAAATAACTCTTCAGTTTTTATTTACTGAACCAACCAAACTTAATTTCCAAACAGAACACCATGAGTAGATAATTTAAAATGACGTTAAATTATCGGTTGCCAAAGTGGGTACGAAACGTCCTTCAGACGCGAACTGGTTGATAAATGGTCAGCACAAAATGTCCCGTGGCAGACAGTTTCAATTTGCTCACACACAAAAACAATCTGTCTATTACCCAGAATCACAAAAGTACAGTGTCATTCGGTTTAGGAGATATAAATAATAAACTGCTAGGAAGCCCAAATAAATGTAAAACAAATTGGGAAATGAGGTTATCTGTATTTATTTATCTGTATTGTAATATGACAGGATTTTCTTCCTTCTCCTTTTGTTTGAATTTGTAAGTGAACACTGATGTATGTAAGTGGCATTTAAAAAAAGAAAACATGTACATTCTCTGAATCAGCTCACATTAATGCATCAGTGTTTTACACTTTAAATCAAATGGTCGGGGTTTAATACACAGAGCATTTTGATTATAGCTGCCAGAATTAGAGAAAAGAGATTTAGTCGAGTGTGGCCCTGGGGGAGCACCAGAGTAAAGCTGGGTGACCTTTAATGTGACCTAAAGAGGTCACTGCAGATTACCGTGGTGCCATCGGGGAGGAAAAAGGCGAACAGGGGCAGGAATGGGAGCAAAGGGAAAAACTTAGCTGAGAGGAGCGGGAGATGCTGGGAGTAAAGAAGAATGAGTCAGAAATTGGAGAAGAGCAAAGGAACAATAGGCTGAAAGGACAAGCTAACACAGGAGAGAAGGCGAGCAGATGTGGGTTTGTACAGGAGGAGAGAGCAGATGAGAGAAAGTACAGAAATAAAGGAGAATGTGGAGGGTCGAACATTAAAGAGAGCACTTCGAAGTAGGAGCGCCTTGTCCAGTGTGGGAGACTGGACTTGGATTGGAAACTATATTCTCTTTCACTCTCTGTGCCTACATCTCTGCTCTCGCTCCCGGACGCCTTCGAGCCCTCCAGCTATCCCTTCCACCACACGCAACCCCACACTCCTCCACTCCTTCCTCGCTCCATCCATCCATCCCAGGAGGAGCGGTAGCTTGAGTGGCAGGCGGGGGCAGGAGGAGGGATATGGGGGGGGCTCCTAGCCAAAAGGCAAACAGGTGCAGCCCCTCTGGAGTATCTCAAATGGCAGACATTAAAACAAGTTGGGGGAGCAGAGAAAGATGAAAACATCCCTTAGGATGTGCAGGCCACAGGGTTCTGCACATTGCTTTCCTTTTTCTGCTTTGCCAGGAAAGAGATTTTTTTGCCTTTCTTTTACTTTATTGCAGTATTTTACTGCTGGTGGGTTTACACAAGTTGTACGCCGGCGTCTAAGGATACCGGTTTTACTTCCTGACACCACAGGTCCGTCCTAGCAGTAGCAGGAAGGATCTGCCACTGCTAGGAAGCCCAAACAGGACAACAGAAGAGGTAAACAGCGACAGAACATCACTTCCGAGCAAATGAGGACTTCTGGTCAAGACCAAATTTCTTCACACTGTCAGGAAAAAAACACTCAAGTACACATGTGAACTTTAAACTCCACATCCGCAGATGTGATAGTGCGTAAACTCTTTCTCACAACTGTTCAGGTTCCTTAAAATTCCCCTCCAAAGCAGAGGGGCTTTACTTGGAGCAAGCATGCGATGCAGTGCATACAAGAATAGCTATTCTAAGCGTAGTCGTGACTGCGCCTGAGTGTGTGTGTGCGTGCGTGCGTGCGTGCGTGCGTGCGTGTGTGTGTGTGCGTGCGGAGACAACCACCCACATGGCCGTGACATACCCAGGCTGACAGCCCCCATCCCTTCCTCCCTCCTCCCGGAAAGCCCCAATCCTTTCTTTAGTGGCACTGACGCAGAACCGGGGGTGAGCTCCCACTGCTTCCGGCAACACTTCCGTAGCACGGAGGAGGGCTCTCCGAAACAAAAACATGAAGCAGAACACACCCCTGGCGGCCCACGCAGGCGTGCTTGAAGGAAGAGCGCCGAGCATGTGCACGCACAAACACACGGGGGTGCTTGCTGAGCCCGAGCAACCTTGCTGTGTGTGTGGTCAACCTCCTTTCAGCCATGGAAAAAAGTCTCTCATAAAAGTCCCACTAAAAGCACCTCTATGAATATCGCCTCCCACGCTTTCAGTCTGACAGTCAAGCAGCCAAGAAATATATCTAGGCTTCACGTTTAGATGCCAAAAAGAAAAAGAGAAACACATCCATACAGAGGTACATGCACGGAGACACACAAGATAACACGGATCCAAACAGCCTCAACAATTAAACTGAATATGCAATACGGGACAATTATGAAACGATATTTAAACCAACTAAAACATTTTAGACAATTAGCCACATGGGCTTGTTATAATTTACAACCTACTCTGAAGATATGCACTCTATACTAATCAGCCAATCTGATTTTTAGCTCATTGTTCATAAGTATTCTGTACTAATCTGTGTATGAAATGACAACAAACACACCAGATCTAACCATTTCAGTACATTTTCACCGTCTCCTCCACGGCTCCTTAAATATGTGAGTGCTGGACTCTCTGATTGGCCTAAATAAACACGTCATACTGCAGCACAATGGCATCCCAGAAAGTTGAATAAAAGCATTTTTAACATGACCCTGAAGTGTTACGTTTAAGATACGTCTGGTCTGAATGCATCATCTCCTGTGTGGATGAATCATCTTACTTTACAATTTATGACTTCAGAATGAATCATCTTACTTTACAATTTACAGATTCAGAAGGATTTTTACAAGAATCTATGATTACTTTAACCAATGCAGCGTTTGATGTGTTCACTCTGAAATGTGAGCCTTTCGTTGCACATTGAAAACCTTGAACACAAACAGGGGATAGCATGCTAGCTATCGTGATAGGCTGTTTACAGCTAAGTCAGTTCCTAAGTTAAATCATTATGACAGGAAAACAAATAGAATTTTTCTTATAAGTTCTGCAATGTGATGTGAACATGTGATCTTTTGACATTTAAATTAGCAGATTTGCAGATGATACTGTGTTTTACTAGCAAAAAGAAAGTATTAAGATTATGCTGTTTAAATGCTTCAATCCCTCCCTCATGACTCATGTCTGCAGAAAATGTGTGCGATGTGAGCCAACAAAAGCACACAAAGGCCGGTCATGGTCACAAATTTTGTTGGACGGTGAATTATCCCAGAACTTATTGCGATAAACGATAATATTGTTGTTTTGAGACCACTTTCAAGTAATATGGTAGCAATAATGGGATAATAATCCAAGAACACATTCTGAAGAATCAAACTGGAACTGGAAGACATTTGAAATATTGAAAAATAAAGAAAGAAAACAACAGAAACAACAAATAGAATGATTTATGAAGTCTCTGTAAACAGAATTATCATTCAAACAAAAGGATGGTTGAAAGCAGAGCACCAAACTGAAGTCTTTTATCATTCAGCTTTTAGTAAAAAGAAAGAGAAAAGAGAAAATGACAAATCAAGCAAATGAAAAATGATTGAGTTTCTTTCAATTTCTCATGCAATTAATTGATGTATTGTTTATTGTGACAGGCCGAGGCGCATAATAATAATAACTTATTGTATCAAATACTTTTTTGTTGTCAGCTCTCTCTTAAAGTGCTCAATGGTCTGTGGCATTCTCACAGAGAAAAAAAACAACAGACGTGTTGCAATTCACTCCTGAACCATGACTCGGTGTGTTTTGATTCAACAGAAAGCAATTGGATATGATAAAATTGATGAGGATGGAAGACACTATGGCGTTATACTGAATGAGAATCATTACTAAACAAAGAAAATCTGTTTCTGCCCCGGCGTATCAGGCTAGTAGGATTCCACAACAAGTACTGAAACTATTGGCCACAGTGCAGTGTTAAAAATATGTATTTAT